TTAATTTTACTTCTGCTAAAGCACCATAAAACTAAACAGCCTGGTAGAGCTTTTCCATTGTAACACAATAGGTGAAGTATTTCACAATTTTGTGCAACATTGTGTTGGTTTATTGTAAAATTACAGTGAAATACCCTGAAGTTCATAGTTGCAATGTGATGACATGTGAAAGAAAAAGAAAGAAAACAAATATTTTTTTAATGCAATGTATGAACTGTACAGTATATTTCAAGATTTAAAAAATCTAAGCTGTCAATATTTCAATGTAATATTTTCATAACTCAAACTGTTGTTCACGCCTTGCCAATATGTTTTTATGTAACTGAATGCTGTCTAGGAGCTCTTCACTACAGGCCTACAACATATGTATGAAGAAACATCGACTACGTAATGCATAAAACTGCTTTATTATTGGTGAATATTAAAAACATGATTTGGTTGCAACAAACAAAACAGTCAGTTGTATTTGGGCTCACGTAAATACACTTGAAATTTGAATTACTTCAATAAAGCAGGGTAAGATGGTTCACTATAGATCTGAATGGTACATGTGAACATTAAGTCAATGCACGAAAACTACAAATCACAGAGCTGTTTGATTGTCTCTCAAAGAAATCTAATTAGGTTCGCAACTTTCTGGATTTCCAGAAGGTCCTGCGAAACTTTCCAAATCCTCTGGAGGTTCTGACACCGCCTGTTTGTGAGCGTGGCTCCTTCTGTGCCTGCTGAGGGAATGGCTCCAGGAGAACCTGATGCCACACGTAAGGCACATGTAAGGTTTTTCTCCTGTGTGCACACGCTGATGCTTCGTCATCGAATTGTACCTGTTGAATGTCGCGCCGCACTCGTTGCAAATGTATTTCTCAGACTTAATGTGGACGTTCTGCTCGTGCTCCTTCATGTTGCCCAGCTGGGAGAAGCCTTTGCCACACACGGGGCACAGATGGGGCTTCTCTCCCGAGTGAGTAAGTCCGTGAAGGATCAGGTCCTGACGGGAATAAAATCTTTTGCTGCAGACAATACACTTGTGGGGTCTTTCTCCTGTGTGCTTCTTCATGTGTCTTTTGAGTCCCTCTGAGCGGGAGTAGCTGCTTTCGCACAGAGTGCATTTGAAAGGTTTCTCCCCTGTGTGGGAACGGGAGTGGCGACGCAAGGAGGAGGCCTTGAAGAAACGCATTCCGCAGTCGGCACAGCGGTGAGGTTTCTCCGGCTGTTCCTCGTGCGTTTTTTCGTGGGCTTTGCAGTGGCCTGCCTCAGAGAATCCCTTTCCACAGACAGGGCAGGTATAAGGCCTCTCCCCTGTGTGAACCCTTACATGGCGAAGAAGTTTATGGAGCTTATTGAATGTCTTCATGCAGAACGAACACTGATGAGGTATTTTTGGCGTTCTTGAGTGTGTGCGCTGATGTCTCGCTAACCTTGAAGGTCTGTTGAACACTTTCTCGCAGTCAGGACAGGGATGCTTGTTGGTTCTGCTGTGGGTATTTTGGTGTCGAATCATCCTGTCCTCCTGAGTGAAGTTCTTCTCGCAATGCTGACACTGATAAAGCATTCTTGGCTTCCTCTCGTGGATAGGTTTATGCCTCTCCACCTTCGATGGCCTGTCGAACATCTTACCGCAGGTGGGGCAAGGGAAACACTTGTTGGATTTGTTTATTTTTGGTTGTTTGAGATTCTCTGGGTCGGTGTCGGTGTCAGTGGTGGTGTCGCTGGAATCTGACTCCAGGTCAACATTCACCTCCACAACTCCAAAACCTGCGGATCATGCAGAGCAAAATTAATATTTAAAAAAAAATTCCAAGGTAGAACATGTCTCTTTTCATCAGAATCGGAACAAATCCAAAAATGTTTTAGTAGCAATCAAAATGAACATTATGCTTGGTATATTTTTAATGGCTACTGCTGCCCATGATCATACGCCTAAAAGAAGTTCTTTTGTCTGGTCGAGCAACATACTGATACCTGGTTAGCACTCGTTTTTCAGGGCTGGGTTCAGCGTTTGCATCAGTGGGAACACAAAGAACTGGTGAAAAAGTCCCTGGTTCGCACTTTAAAGGGCCTTCACCCAGAGTGCTAAGTTATTCTTCTACAAACATGTTTGGATCATTATCTGCTACAGGAAAAAAAAAACATAACCATCTCTACATACTGTCTTCAGATTCAGATTTTGGTTCAGGTGCGGCGTCTGGGCCCATGACTGCAGACTGTAGATACACAACAGAGAAGCACATGAGGTCAGTACATCACAGGAGCAACACAGAGACGTATAGGACAAACACTCCTGCTCACACGTATTTGCACATAAAGTAAATTAGAGTCTCCACTAAACCTAATTTAATTTCCCCTTAGAATCCATAAGGTATTTTTGAAATAAATTTCAATTTGAACCTGCCACACACACTTTTGTACTGTGGTAGAAAACTGGTGAAAAGCTATACAACACGATTACATGTAAAACATGAAAACTATACACAAAACAGCAGAGGCTTGAATTCAGGACATTTTTACAGTGAGAGGACAATGCTAACCATAGTTAAACAATTTATTTTACTTTTGTAAAGTAAAAAATGTATTGCATCAGTCATGTGCCATTCTATTGTAAAATAATTCAAATCAAGAAAGAGTCTCTGTATGCCACTGATTTATTCCTGATGGTTATTTATATGGCTGAATCAGAACATCACTTTTAACTTTTGAGGAATAAAGGTGTGAAAATATAAGCTTGACTGTACCCTCTGGTGGACAATCTATGCAACTGCAATAAAAAAAAATAATTAGAAAAATTATTAGGTCTAAATTTAGATTTCTGCACTAAAGTATTTTACTATCACCAATATACATACATAAGAAATAGCACAAATGTAATGTAAGCTGATTTGCTTTCTTTGCGTTTTTACTGAAATGAATTTGTGTATTGCTGAACATAATTGTAAGAAAAATATATTTTTGCATATGATTCTTAAATTATGACAACAAAAATGAAACATAATTTTCCACAGTAAATATTTTGACCTTTTTTCTTACTTGACTGCTCCATGGATGCAAGAATGAATTTTAAATGAAGTGATACACTTTATTTAGACAAAATATTTAATACATTTATTTAAAATAAAGTGAGGCAAATTATTATCAACATACTAAGAAGATCAAAAAGAGACCAAGGTTAAAGGTTCTGTATAAGATGCCAGAGGAAGTGATGGAGTGACCAAAGCTATTTGTTTGAATACACCAATGCCTGTCTGCCCTTCATCTACTTGTTGTGCACTGACAGTCAGTTGACTGAAAACAGGCCTCTACAACTTCACCTTGCTTATAAGAGTTAAAAAAAAAACACACGCATCGTTTTGAACCGTTAACATGGTGTAAAAATTAAGAAGCATCACCTGTCACTATTTGTGAGATAATACTGTTTCAAACCCACAAGAGGAAAGCTAATAATAGTCCCAAGTATGTTTCGCAGTTAATTACAGACTGGCTTCCAGAGCAAATATCTTCTGATATCTGCTTTTTATTCAAAATGATGCAGAATAGAATAGTTTTTTCTTTTCTTTTTTTAAGCTAGTGTGTATTTAACAATTGTACATTATTATTACAATTTAAAATTGTAATAATGATTATGTTACATTTTAGCAACGGTGTGAATCATTGTTCATTTTTGATTTTGAATAAAAGCGGTTAGATCATGGTATAACTTTTAGGTTCAAATATTGTACATTCCACACCACCATGAAAAAAAGGCACTTTGACTTAACATTTACTGTTATACTAACCAGAGAAACTAATGTAAAACCCATCCCTTGTGAATGTGGGTTTTATTTTGATTTAAACCCTAAACATCTTACCAATTTTTTTATAAACTAGGATTTTGAGAAATAACATCTTGCAACATTTCTCAAGGCTTTAGTTGCAGCCATACGAAATGTAAATCAAGAAATTGAGGGACTGAAGAGATCATGAGTTTATGTCCTTAGATGCTGTATAATTGAATAAAATGACAAGAACATATCTTTGACTATCTAGTTAAATGTAGAAACCCAACTGTAGTCTAGTATGCTTCAGGTTGTATTATTCTTTTATTCTACTAAACACAGCTAGCTGTAAAAAATAAACAGTTAGGTTTCTGCAATACAAGCTGCGTGCGGAGCTAAATTGAAATAGTGAGCTAATATCTCTAAGTTAGCATCTGAGCCTGCTAGCAAACACAAAGAGGTCATTTAATGTTTAAATATAAACTCGATAGCATGTAGGCTGTCCTGTGGATAACATCGATCCCCACGCCACCCAGGATAACAGTTGTTTGGGATACAAACAGAGATGAAGCTATAGCCAAGCTACACACGCTAAAGCTAACGTCGACGTGTTAGCTAAAACAATATAGTACAAGAAGGACAGAAAACCGAATCCCACCTCTCGGATAAACCTAAAGAAGGATCCGTTATGTATCCTTTCGCCTGCAGCTTAAATCTAACCTCCACCAAAAGGAGGAAGGGAAAAACAGTAGCAACTCTCCAAAGGGTAAAACCACAGCAGCTCTGTTTGATGCTCGTTACTCCACGTGAGACATTTGGGGCTCAACGTAAATTCAAGAGTCACACACCGGTAAAGTGTTAGTTGGGTTCTTATAGTAGTTTTTTTTTATTTGTTAAAATGTGTATCATGTTTAACGAATGTACAAGTCATATAATGATTGCTAATTGAATTTCCACCATGTTTGTGCGGTCACTCAACACTTTAGATACTTCTATCGTTTAGTTCAAACTGTCCTAGAAGGCAGCACAAGCTTTTCAGAGCAACGGTGAAATAGTCATGAAACCATTGTGTGGGTTGTCGAAAAAGTAATAAAAAATTCTCCCTCTTTTTATTCTAGCATTTAGAAAACAAACAATTTCATTACACTTCCTTAGTCTCATTAAATGTTAGACAGCGAGAAAAAAAAGAAGTGTCCATCAGTGTACGTGTATGTGTCTTCGATCGTGATGAATTCACATTTTGATACATTATTTTCACACGGAATGATTTAATTATGTATTGAATAAATCATTCAAAAAAGATGATATAAATAACATCCGAAAAATACAGGAAGCACATAGACAAAATATATACACTTTCATACATAGCTTGCTATATTCATATATACATTGCAACATTTTATTCCACTGTTATGCAGTCTGTACATGGCACCAGAAAAAGAGCCAATATTCCTCTTGTGTTAATGTTTTGTCAGCCTGTTAAATGTAGAATTGATCTTAAAATTCACTTCTCTGAAACAGTGAGTCACTGTACTTTAGTAGCTTTCCAATAAATGGGCTCATCATATAATTTCTTTAGTGTTAGCTGGTTAGACAACACACTGATTGACCACCTATTATACAATACACAAAGAAAAGATTTAGTAGTGAAAGTCTCAGTAAATTATATTCAAACCAAGATTTTTTTTTTACTTGTATTACAGTTTTTAAAATTCATCAAAAGACTTATTATAAATGCAATGTGCATTGAATTGCAGAAAAAAAAACTGTTGTCCAAAACAACTCCCACATAATACCACTCCTCGTTCGTCTATCGAGAATGAAAGCTGCGAGATAGGTAGATGGAGTTCTGAATGCCCCATACTTCCAGGGACTGGATCTGGAAGTGTCCTTTGCAGAGCGGGTTGCTGCTGAATGTGTCACAGAGTTCTGAGTTTCCTTCCTCTAAGTTATCACACAAGCAGAGTGCGTGGCCCCCATCACCACCTGAAAAAATGACACGAAAGTCACATAAACAACACACAATGTTCTGGCCTGACTATCGTTAACACAATTCTCTCAGCGTGCGTAAACAACGTACCGACAATGAGCTGACTGTCATCTCCTGCGATGAAATTTGAGGCGTCTTGCTCCTTTGGTCTCTTGGCCTCCTTTGCAGTTCTGGGATTTCCTACTGGAGCGCTGAGGGGGAGTGTCAGGTAGGATGGATTCTGGGGAGTCCCATTCGTACAGCTGACAGTTTTGGTCAGCTGGCAAACCTCTCTGTTTGCCAACTGAGAGGCGGAACTGCTTCCATCTCTGTGCTGCTGAGGAGAGGCTATTCTGGTCATGATGTTGACCATAGCCCGCTGGTAGCGCTCCATGCTAGGGCGAAGCTGAAACAGTCAGTAGAGTTTAGTTAACAATCTGTAAATGTAGGAGGCATTCTGTGTGATAATATTAAGAGGTTAATTCTAAATTTTTGAAGGTTTTAGGCAGCTATACTAATACTTGGCATCATCACTGGCATAAGTCCAGATTAGCTGCTCCCAAAGGCCGAAGCTCACCAGGTTTGACAATAATGGACCAGAAATCCTTTTTTTTTTTTTTTTTTTTTTTTTCAGTTTTAAAATTAATTAAATCTCATGAAACCTAAACAGAGTATGCCAACACATGTTTAATCTGGATGTTAACTGTCAGTCTATTTGTATTGTTGATTATTTACACAGAAGACCAGTGACCTTCCAATGTGAAATGTGTCCTGAGAATGGAACATGTAAAGAACTTAGTCTTAGTAACTACCTGACAGCATAGCAGGGAAAGTAAGGCCCTGTATAAATCAATACAACAAAGCACATAGGCCTGTGTAACATTTTTTGCTTCACACACCACTTTTGCTTTTCTAACAGCAAATCTGACTGGAAATGCTTCAGATGTTTCAGTATCTGTTTATCACAGAGCACTGTGATAAACAGTGTGACCCTCAACCACAATTCAATAATGGTACCAAGTTGTCACCAGCAGTTACTAAAGGTGATACTGAGGGACAATTTTAGTAGTTTGTAAGATTGAAACCTTGTTAAAAAGGAAGATGTTGGGCACAACACAAAGTTTTCTGTCTTCCATTAACCATATGATGTTGCTTTCATTTAATGGTCTAGAAACTAGGATTGACAACATCGAGCAATTTTTCCTCTAAAACAAACTGGGGTTTGTTCAACTTTAGGAAGCAGCAGGTAAACCCCTTTTTACATTTCACATCTAAATAATATATGTTTTTAAAGACTATTTTTTTTCTGTTATTATATTGTATTAATGAGCAGATAAAACAAAATATCACAAAATATGTTTTTGTATTTTTATTCCTAAAAAGAATGAACTACCACATAACATTTTAAATCAATTTTAATGCTGTAGTTTTCTTATACCAGTTTATTATAATGATATATTAACAGAAGCCTAAAAAAAGGGATAAAGTTGGCTTACCGTAAAAACAAAACACTCCCCAGTTCCAAAGTATGTAAGTCCCTGAGAGTCGTGATTCCGTCTTTCCATCAAATCCATTGACAAGAAAGCTCCAAAAACCTGAGAAAAGTGTCATGTCATGTTAACACTTTAATTGAATCTAAATATTAATATTAAAGATACTGCCATAGTCTAATTTATGTAAGTTTCATGTAAACCACTCAATTTAATTACCTCTTCTTCCATTGTTTTGATGATGAGTACTATTGGCTCATGTCCTTCAACACGTTTATACAATCTAAATGAGAAGGAAAGGAAAATAAATACATCAGTCAAGCCACCCAACAATTTTCCACAACAGGCTAATATATAAAAATTTCACTGGGGAACTTTTAGTGACTGTACAGACTTGTAAACAGATGTAATGTGAGAGTCATTAGCCATCACGCCAATGATGTGATGTTTGAAGTCAAGACAAATGCGTTGATGGTGAAAATATACCACTGGTCTCTGGTTACTCTCCCTCTACTAAAACATAGGCTTGAGTTTACAGGAGAAGAGACAAGCTGCCCTGTAGGTGTCGATACCTAATCACAACTCACTGGTGCGAATTTGAAAAAAATGCAATATTACTGTAATATATAAGAATGACAGTGACTACGGTGGTAGGAATTGGTCCCGCTGTCAGTGAGCTGTCAGTTCAGCTGCCGCTCTGTCTACTTCTGTTGTGTCCTTGGGCAACACACTTAGGGCCAGTGCATGGCAGCCTTGCCTCTCTGTCAGTGTGCCCCAGTGCAGCTGTGGCTACTATCCAGTAGCTTGCCACCATGTGTGTGTCAATGGGTGAATGACTGAATGTAGTGTAAAGCACTTTGGGGTTCCATGGACTTGATAAAGCGCTGTACAAGTATGAGCTACTTGCTATTTTTCTAAGCAGTATTTTTATTGGGATCAAATAAAAGTCACTTACGAAGAAAGATCTCTTCCATCTTCTGCGATATGAAACAACCGAACGGGGTTGAAGAGCGCAAAACGTTCAGGAATCCAGGCCCAGATGACCCTCATCTCCGTCTCTGTGACAACACTGGAGCTGAAGCTGTTTAAGTCCACTGATTCCACCGTCTGCCTTTAGGACCATCGAGAGCGTCAAAGATAACAGCAACATTAGATGTTATTTCTTAATCTTGTTTCTGGAGAATTCCATAGCCAGTCAATTGCAGTGCAATTGTAAACATACCTCTTTTGGTGTGTGCTGACACCTTTTTGCATTAGGGCATCCTTATTTGCATTGAACAGAAGGTTAAGCTCATTTCGTGTAGCAATTGGAATCTGGAAGGCCCTTTCCAAAAGCTTCTCAACTGTGCAGTGGCGAGCTACACTTTGCACAAAACGTTTCATGTCAGTTCTAAAGTCTTCGACGTCTGCTACTCGAGATGACACGGACACTTTGTAGAGGTCAAGCAAAGCTAATGCAACCCTACAAAACAGAGATTGGGAAATATATTTACAATAGTCAGGCCAGAAAAGAAATCGCATTTTGAAAAAATAAACTGGAGTGGCAACCAACCTGAAGAGAACCTTGAAACCCTCCAGTAAGTAGACGTCCAGAACTCTGATTGCATATGTGAATGGAAGGTCAGCAAAAAGCCACATGATCCAGTCGGAGTAAAATTCAAAGAGGTTTTGGTGCGAGCTGGCAATCAGCTTTCGGATGCCTCGGCAGCACCTGTTGGCAAGGTCCCCGAATGTCATGCAAGAAGCACGATAAGTAAGGAATGTCTGGTCGATGTAGCGCTTGTTAGGGTCCTTGTAGCAGATGAGTCGAGACACGCTGTAGAAACACTCTGCTTCATCCTCACTAAAGTGGAGTATGAGAGAGACCAAGGCAGGGAGGATGGGACAGTAGCTCATGTCTGGGAAGTAACTGCCAAGGCATATAAGGATCTTTTTAACAGAATTCATGCCTGCTTTGTTGAGACAGTATCTGGAAAGAAAGAGAGGAAGCAAGGTGCCCACTGGTCAGAATATGAAAACAAAATGGTGTATGCTCTTTTTGCAAGACTGTACTAAGTGTCTTTTACTCATTCATGCAAACAGGTAAGGCACAAAGTTAATAATTTGTAAAGAAGTAATTTTATTTAGATTACCATACAATTGAAGTACATTTAATTTTCAGTACCTAAAAACAACTTCACTTTTTCCACAACATGAGCATTTTTGAACTAATGTTTTCCCGTGAGAGTGTTGTACATGAATACTACTTTGGTAAACTTAAGTTTGTTCATTACATATTACATACTTTTATGGTAGAAATGCACCAGTTTAAAATTCAAAGCGGCTAAATAAAAACGAAAGGCTCTGGGAAGCAAGTTTAATCTGAAAATATAGTTAAATACCAGCTGTTTCTTTAAGCATTCTGTTTGTACTCTGTCTGTGCAATTCCAATAAAAAAATTCTCTAATATCTACATTTTAGACAAAATATTTTGTGCAGCAGATTAAGACTGGAGCTTCTTGACAATAAGAATTTCAAAGCACTTCTAATACTCATTGTAAGCTACTGTTTTGAGATTTTACTCTGGGGAGAAACAGACTAATACCACTGACTTACCTTGGTATATCCCCATCCTCCATGTAATCCGGGACCTGGTGAGTGCTAACTTTCTGTTCCCCAAAAAGCTTCTTGGCCAGGTCATAGTAAACATCCCTATTTGGCGTAACAGCCCTGCAATTAGTGAAATAAAAGGCTGAAATAAAAATTACCATATGAAAAACTAAAAGGAACATTTCTGACATGACATGATATTTGTCTTAACCTGGAATTGATGTTGTGGATGATATGATAGTATGCTTTGGCCCTCAGCGTGTGCGAGATGGCCCAGAAACCCTCTCGCCCCATTCTTTTCAGCTGCTGATGCCCGCTCTTCAGGATCTGCTGGTATTTCTTCGCAGGTTCTGGATCGATCTTCTCCCAGTCCACAAACTGCCCGTACTTCATACCAGAGCTGGAGCAAATCTCCCAGTTGTCTGACTCAGAGATGGTTATCATGGACACTGTCCTGGCACTGCCTTTACTGCCTGAGTGAGATAACCACATTCGTTTAGCTGGTTTTTCAATCTGTTTTTCTTTTACAGTGCACACAATTTTTGGAAAAGAATTTGCAATATATTAAAAGGCATTGCGTCAATACCATTAAGATCCTTTGAGAGCTTCTTCGACTTCTTTGGGTTGACAGGAACAACAGATTGATTCCCATCTTTATCGTTCATTTTGGACATTTGATTTCTTGACTGTGAGCTTGCTCTCTGCCTCAGTGGACAGGACCACGAAAAGTTTGCTGTGTCAAAATTGGAGAACAACTCTGATGTCTCATAACTGTAAAATGATCTAAAGAAGATGGGGAGATTCCTCAGTTAGTAACATTAATCATTTGTCCTTTGAAAAAGCTGAAGCAAACAAAAATCCACATAAGTACAAGTAAACACACAAAATACTACCTTATTTGTAATGTACGAAGAATAACTGAACCACAAAGGTGAGAATAAAAACATACCTGGAGCGAGGTCTTGCATTGGCTTCCTCTGTTTTTACATGAAAGTCACAGTTTTTGCTGTCCTCTGGGTTGTTATAGGAATGAGACCTCGGTCTTCTGCCTGTCAACATGGAGTTCACGTCTTGTTCAGGAGATGCAAAAGAAATCATGTTCATGTTCCCAAAGTTTGAAAACTCCGGTGCTCTTGAAACGTGAATCATCTCAACCCTCGAAGAAAAGTGTCTTAGAAGGTAATGTCTCCTCTCTTCTCAGTAAGCGCCTTATGAGCATCGGCACTTTATATAAACCTGATAGCTAAGGTCATGTGGGTTAGCCACGGTTTGTTTGTGTTGACGCTCGTACTGAAAGGAAAAAGGTCCAGTGATTTTCCTGTTTTAACTTTCGTAACACAAGGTCTGTTTCTGAGAACTGTTTCCGCAGTGCCACCATCGGTTCTTGAGTCAAAGAAACAAGACATCAGAATGTCTAACAAATGAACCAAAATAAAGGCCCTTTCTATGGATCAACTGTTCTGAAGTAAACACTTTTATGTAGTTGTTACTGTGTGGTAAAAACATAGTCACCCTTCACAGACTGGTTCCCTTTCTTTTGATTTATAACGACCTACTTGAAATATAGTATTTCCTTAAATAACTTCCATCTTTCTGCCTGCCACTGGAAAATTTCCCTCATGTGCTCTGTGGGAAAACAGACTCTCTTTGAGGAAATTATGTCATAGATTTAAACTACTTTTTGATTGAAGATATTGATGTATAAGCTTCATGTGTACAGTGCATTGAAAAAGTGTTTTCTTCCTTACAGGTTTGTCCCAGTTTGCCTTCCCGTTGCACTCAGATCATTAAACAAATTTTAATATCAAACAACTATAACCAGAGTAAATACAGTTTTCAAATGAAGATGTAATTTTTTGAAGTATAAAACTAGAGATGGTAAATTCAGTTCTGTTCCTCTGAGTGACTCTGACCCATTTCACTAAAGTATAAGACTAAAGAAAGCATAAAGGCATTGTTTTACCAACAAATCAATGCAGATTGTGTTGTTTTGTGGTCCCTAAAACGGGTTGTGTTACCCATTGTTGCCTACTCCTCACAGCACTTCAACTTAATTTATGCTTGGAGTTTAATAGGTCACTCTAAATCTTCAATTATCTTTTTCTTTTTTTTAATGTTGAAGATTTGTTGCAGGTTGCTCATACTGCTCCACAATCAAAATATGCCAGTCTTATTTCAGTCTTATTCTGATGTTCATTCAGTCTCCAAGTAAATTTTGTGGTTGAGACTTGTTGTTGGGATTTCTTTAAATACAACACACCACCTAGTCTCGAAGAAGCAAAGCTACCCGAGAACATCACACTATCATCAACATGTATGAGTTTTTCTTAAATGTTGTGTTAGTTTTTATACCATATGCAACAGGACAAACATTTTCAGAAAACTTTAACCTCCGTCTCATCATTTCACATCATATTTTTCCGAAAGTCTTGGGGGTCATCAAGATACTTTTGACAAATGTGAGGAAGGCCTTTATGCCCCTTTTGCTCACCAGTGGTTTTGATCATTTTTGCCCCATCTGTTACTCATTGTTGAATCATGAACTTTGACCTTAAATCACAAAGGTAAGAGTGTATGTTTACTGTGGTTATATTTGTGTCAGTAAAGGTATTGTTAAAAAAAAAAAGTTATATTATTTTGGAACAAAACATCTCTCAATGATACATTTTAAGACACAGTAGGCCAATCAGAAAATGTTACTTGTTCTGTGAAATTGCCTCATGGAATCAAAATATCAAGAAGGTGTTTTCCAAGAAGGCTCCCAAAGTTCCTATGTTTGTTGCACCGCATAACACATGTGTTTTTGGTCAAACACAAGGTTTGTTTGGGTGTGAAACATCTACTACCCCTTACCTCACACATGGGCACTTCATGTAGTGGAACCGAAGTTTACTCTTTTACCCGCTGGTTGTATCAGTTCACTTCTCATGTAGAAAAATAAAACGCACTTAAGATTCAGATAAGCCAGTTTAAAAGGAATTGATTCATGTTCATAGTTCTCTTTCATTCATTGTAATTTATCTGAAATAATACTTAAAACAATATAAGTAGCAAGTTACAGAAAAAGATGGTGAAAATTAACAAATAAAACTGAAAACAAAATCTAATACAATGATGCAGTTATATCACAGTTTAGCTTGAATATGTATGATTGAATCCAGAAGTTTACATACACTGAACAAAAAGACACATGTACCTGTTTCATTATGATATTAATGAAACCTTTGAAATGATCCAAGTTGAAACTAATTTTGTTAACTATCATCAAAAGCAGAAAAATGTTGCAAATGGCATCTTTAAATTATAGAAATATGCGTTACTACGTCTACCGCTCGTGCATTGAACAGTACTTCTGACCACTCAAGTACTCACCCTTTCATAGCGGTCACTGCAGTGGACAGCTATCTAAAAGACATTTTCTTGTGTTTCTTGTGGATCTTTATGTTATAATTGCACACAGACCACTGAAGTGGACACTACTGTGTCTTACAATACACAATACACTATCAAGTTCAAATACTGGCCATCCACTGAGAGTGCAAGAAAATTTTTGTTAAATCCAATATGGCAGACAAATGAAAAAGCAACTCAGGAATATCCAGTCCCATCTTCTACTGTAGAGGACGGCAGGTAAAAAAATAAAATAAAAATAAATATTGTGACATCAAGTGAACTCTAAAGGCTAATACTAGTGATATATTTTCCAAATAACAACTTTGTATTCGGAGAAAATTAAAACTGATCACACAGAAAGAAATTCTATACATTTTTACAAAAAAATGTTTCTCAATTTTTTTTGTTCTTTAAAAAAAAATCAAAAACACTTTTGAAAAAAAACAAAACGACATAAAGGATAATAATAACCCTTTTCATGCTTGAAAGGGTTATTACATTTGTGTGACTTTTTCTTTGAGAGACAGGAGTTTAGTTGCCAGATGAAACTCCAGAGTCTTTATATGTTTGTTAGTAAAATGTGTAAAAGTTAATTGGATAAAATGTGAATGTAAAAGATTGTACAGTATATCATATTATAGTATTTACTATCCATACACTGTCAGAGGTATTTATAGAGCATGAAATGTGTTGCTTTCAATTTTGCTGTCATTTTGAGTTGATGACATTGGTCCAATAAACCACAGAACAGATCGAATAGAATAGAATAGTATATACAATTATTTGTTTGAAAGCAAGTGGATAGATCAAAAATAATTTCATTCAAATTTAAGTTAAAAGGTTGGGGTATTATGCGACTGTTATAGTGAATGTAGCTCTTCATATTGTTATTTGTTGGTTTTTTACGGAAAACGATTGAGTCTCTGTAGTCAAATGGCCCTCGCCGTTCGCCGTAGTGACGTCGTTTCCAAAACAAGGAACGGCTTGTCAGTGATTACTGCTGTGCTTGAAGTTGTGCTATTTCGAGTCATAGTTAACTTTTGTTATGATGTCTCAAGATCCCTGGTAGGTGATTATGTCTTCTAATAAAATGGACCGTCTCAAATGTATTAATAACAGCAACATATGTCTTCTTTGTGCCCGGTTGTTTCGTTTTTGTACCCAGTTAGCTTCATTGGTTGCTTGTTCCTTATCAAGTCCAACCAAATACATAATAGTGTTTATATTTTGTTGCTATGAATTCTTTGTTGTATTTACATGGAAAAAAAAGCTGCAATGGAAACAGCATTAGACCCTTATTTTTCGCTTAACGTGACACAGTACTGCGCATGACAATGGGCAGGAATGTGGAGTGGTTCAGCTCCACATTCTGACTAGATGATTGTCACAAGTGGCTTGTTTTTTTTTTATTTATTTTTTTTTTATTTCACTGTTTGTATTTTTGACAGTATTATTGGTGTATTTCTTACGTTAGGCAGATGCGAGTCACATCTGCTCATCAGTTATAAGCAGAAAACTCCAAATTCTGACTGTAAACAGACTCGCATCTCCTTAACTGAAGAAACACGCTAAGCATATTATCTAAAATAGTTTTGTTGGTATCCCCGTCAGGAAATTCTGACGGGATTCCACTGAAAACGAACTATTTCACTGTATGACACAATTAAAGAGAAAAAGGAAAGCTTTCAAGTTATAAACAACTGCCAACATTTCACAACTGTGAAATGTTTTGGATCAGTGAGTTTAATGTCATCTCATAGATGCCACCTTATAGATTTCTATTGTTTCTGCTTTTTTGTCCAAATCATCGTGGCTTTGTGTGAAAAAAAAAAAAAATTACCTCCTCATACTTATAAGTGGTTCTACCCTTTGCTGCAGCATCTGCCATCAAGTGTTTGCAACAACTGTGGGGTATTTTACATTGCTGTGGACGAATTCTGATCCACTCTTTACAGAATAGTTTTAATTCAGCATCTTAAACTGATCATAGTTGAGATTTTGGCTGTAACACTCTGTTCTGCTGTTCTTTAAATTGTATTTGAGAAACATATCTGTTGCTGCTTCATATGTTATACATTTTCCTTCCCATCCACGTAGGTTGCAGAATTATGACACCACCTGCCGCCTTGCCCAGGAGATAGCAGAAAATATCCATGAAAGAAACAGGCAGCAGCGAACGGGGGGAAACCCTGCAAAGGTGAGGCGTTACCTTCTCTTTTTCTCTTCTGAGACAATGTGCCTCCATGTTCACCTACGGGCATGTGCTTTTTTTTTTTTTTCTCCCCCAGATAAATATGACGTTAAGAGCGTCCCTTCAGAAACTCAAACAGAATATTGCTCAGCTCAAAGAAGGCTTGTTAAGGAGCTCCTCGTCTCGGCGCATGTATCCTTTTTTTTTTTTTCTGACGATGACAAGTTTTGAAAGTCATGAGACTGAAATTACCGTCATTCCCGGAGAGCTGGTTCTGCTCGCAGTAACGGTGGTGATCCTGTAGAGGGTGTCGGTGTTCTGTGAAAAGGAAACTACATACATTGTTTCCCCTCATGATCAGGAAACCTCGTCGAGTCCATTGTGACAGATGGTGATGAAAGGTGATGGTTTGATCTTAACTTGGTCTCGTCAGAATGCAGTCGGAAGCTGACAGGAGGCAGAACCTGATTGATAATCTGCTAACCAGAGAGAAGCAACTCAATGCCACCTTCAAAGGAGACATCACAGAGCCTGAACCGTCCAGGTATTAACCCGTAGAGGAACTAGGTCATCCTGTATCGAATCAAACTTCAGTAAAATACAGTTTGCAGACACATTTCACATGATTTTCAGTTTACCTAAGTGGCTTTTTGATTTTTAGAATACAGATTACTCAACACTAATATCCATTGTTACCAATAATGTGTGTGACCTTTAACTCCTAAGTATTGGAATGATAAAAAATATTCCTACCTATGTTTTCAGGAAGATATTTTTCTGTTACTTACATGCCTTGCAAAAGTATTTGCTTCCGTTGAATCTTCCAACATGTTGCCACATTACAACCACAAGTTTTAAAGTATTTTATTTCCATTATATATGACAAAGTAGCACCAAGTTGAAAGTGGAAGGAAACGTTGCATGATCCTTGTTGAAAGGAAGCAACACAACCATGTTCCACCGTGGGGATCGTGTGTTCAGGTGATGTGCAGTCAAATTTCCTTGTTTTAACATTTTGAGCTTGCATGTAAACCAAAAGCAATTGGATCTTTGGTGTCATATTTTATTTATAGAATATATTCACAATATTGTGGTGGACAGTCACATAAAATTTGAGATAAGTAAATGGAAGTTATTGGTATTACAATTTAAAAAAGGATGAATTTGCAGGGCACTGAATGTGTAAAAGAAGGAGATGGTCATAGTTTCAGTTTATGTTGTAACAGATTTAATGAAAAGAAAAAGGAACACATTTTATTTGACTTTTGAAAATGATCAAATTGATCCTTAGAAAAGTCTTTGAGAAGCCTGTTCAGCCTGCTTTGTAGTGTGCTGTATATTAATTTAATATATGTTTCAAGTAGGTTGATGATTTTTAATCTGAAACCAAAACAAATGTTTACACATTTAACTTCAAATTTGTTTGTCTTTTGCTCAAAAGGACCCAGCTTTACTGACCAAGATTTTCCCAGACTTTCTCTGTGGGATTTAGTTAATTTTTCAATTGTAAGATTCTACTCTATGACTATAAATAAATAATAATAATAATAAAAAAAACATGAATCATCATCCTGTAGACCACTGTTTTAACTTAAGCTGTCACAGGATCTGTACTTGGCTTTGATGAAGTGTTACAGTCCTTCACACACAAGGATTGTGTGTGTGCTCACACACAAGGACCTTGAAGGTTCTTGTGTGTGAGCTGTGCGCTTTGACCTCTACTGGCATCATCACTTGGGCTGAAGCCCATTTGTCTGGAGTTTTAGTGACTTTCCAGGTTATTTTTTGTCATTAGACTTATTTGCTTGCTCATCACACATATGGTGGCCCCTGAAAAACCCTCCCACACTTTTACACAGGTGATATTTGTTTGGTCAGGAAGAAGTAGTGATGCTCTGCTCTTAACTTTTCCCACTTTCTTGTATTAATGACATTTTGGAATCCCAAACTGTTTTAGTCCTGCGGAAGAGAAACACAGGAGAAGAATAAAAAGCTAAGTGAATGATGTAGGTGATTGATGGAAATCATTTAAATTGCAGCAGAATCAGTTTAATCAGATCAGCCGCATTAAAAGGAGCCCTGCCGCCGAGTTGTGCCTGTGAGTTTCTCTGATATCTTTCACAAGCTTCGGATATGGGATTGATCTATTTAGCACTGCTTTGCACAGGCTTTCATCTTTTTACAGACCACACACTCAATTACATAAAAGGATTCCTTGCAAAAAAAAAAAAAAACCCAAACGACATTCGCTAATAAATTAGCTCGGCAAACTGTAATCATGTGGTGGTACGGCTTTCAGTTTGCTCACTCAGACCTGACTTTAATGGCGATATGTGGTGGGTAATTTGGATTTGAGGGAAGGCGTCAGACCCTGTTCCCACTGTGTGGTCTGAGAGGACAGAAGTGTGGGAGGGGATGAATTTGGCCATGCTTCAATGATCTAAGCTACTTTTTTGGGGGTTGAAAAAAAAAATGGAGTAGAATGCACAGCATCAAGCCTGCCAGGAGAACTTTAACTTTTAAATAATAATAATAAAAAGAAAGGACATGGTGCCGCTTAAAAGCTCGGCATAGCGCGTTGCCCTTTGGAAACACTTTTACACCTCTAACCTTCCTGTGTCTTTGGTTACACAGGAAACAGGAAATAGTTGCAATTAGTTAAATCTCGCCTGCCCATGTGGCTCAGTTGGGATCTGGATGCTCAGTGATGACAGTCATCTTACTTGTGTCTGCCAAAAGATGCGTCTGACTGATTTCGGTACTCCCTGACTGTTTTAATTGGTTCTCTGCACAGTAGGTGCTAGAAAGGAGGAAGTTCATGTCTGGCACTCGGTTTAACAATAATCAAACTTGCTAGACAGATTCGACTGAATGCCACATCTCCCCTGCTTCACTGATTGTATCAACCTTTGCTTGCATTCTTGATTTCTGGAAGAGCTGAAAAAATCCCAAGGCTTAGGAGGAACATCTGTTCACAGAATAATTACTAGTGCTCCAGAAATCTGGCAGTTTATGGAAAAAAGTACCAAGAAAAAAATCTACTGTTGGAAGAAAGGCAAAATAATTTGTGTTGAAAGAAAGAAATCACGTGGAAGAGGGTGCTATGGTTAGATGAGAACATAATGTAGCATTTTGGACAATATGCAAAACACTTTGTATGGGAAAATGGCCACTGCACTGAACACAAAATCTTCACTGTGAAACACGGTGGTGGCTGCGTATTGCTGGGGGATGTTTTTCTTCAGCAAGGGAAATGGTCAGAGCCGATGGTCAGTCCTGGAGGAAAAACCTGTAATATACTCTGTCTCACCTGAGAGGTTCAGCTTTCTGCTGAGCAACCACAAAACACATTAGCGTTACAATATAATGGATCACATCTATTATTGTGTTAGAATGGCCTTGTCAAAGTCCAGACTTTCAGACAGAAACAAGCATTTCCGTTGACTTGTTGCTAGCTGATTGCTAAAAACTGTCGTCTTTATGAACCTCAGATCCACGTTGATGAGCGGAGGAGCAGCAGCAGCAGGTACTCCCAACCCGTGGCTCGTTGAGGAGTCAGAGGAGACGAAGGGGCTATCCTTTGGAGAGATTAAACAACAGCAACAGAGAATCATTGAGGGTAATTTCCACTTCGTAGATCCAACATAGATCAAATATTATTTTAGGATCAAACAACCAAATCTAGCTTTTAAATATGTTGTGTGTGTGTGTAGTATATTTTGAACAATTTAACTGGCTAAACCTGTTTTGACTTAATTACCTCTTTTTAATGCCCTAAACAGAGGTCATTAATTTTGGATGCATGTATCTATCAATGTCAGAGTATTTAGGACTTCAGTTGATCAGTTGTTTTTTTTTTTTTTTTAAACAAAGTTTATATTAAGTAAAGGTCATTTAAGTCATGATGAGATTTTTAGTGAGTGCTGTAAAATATAGTAGTTTAATAAAACTTGATGGATACATTAAATCACTGCATTGCTCATTTTTAAATGTGATTTAAAAATGTATTCATTATATTACAAGACAACATATGTTTTTAGTTTTTATCTTATTTTCTGATTCCTGTCTGATATGATTTAATCACCGAGATGTTTTTTTTTTTTTTTTGCCACCTGGCTCCCTGCCTTCTCCATAGTTTCCTTTATTGTCAGTATACAGTCAATGAGTTGGGTTAAAACTGTGAAATCTTACCATATGGAAGGTGTGACACCAATGTTGGATTCCTGGAAACGGCTAACGTTTATTTCTGAACTTGTGGCTTACAAGAAATTCCCGTGGTGTGGAAAATGTCAAATCGAGACAACTACAGAAGCCTCGATGCGTTTCTCCCGTATTTTTAATGTTGTCACATTTTACATTCAAATTTTTCTTTTTGTTTCTTTCTCTAGTACTTAAAAGAAAGAAACGAATCAAAATGGATTTATTGAGCGATTTATTTAGTGTCTTCTGTTTGTGGTTGTTTTCTTTTCCTCCAGTCCAGGACGCAGGCCTGGATGCACTGGCAGCTGTCATCAGCCGACAGAAGATAATGGGCCAAGAGATCGGCAACGAGCTGGATGAACAGAACGGTAAAGTCAATGATCCACTGCTTCGTTTTTGTGTATTTTTTTCCCTTCCATATTCCCAAAACATACCAGAGTGTGAAATCAGACAGACAGATGTTGCTTATAAATAGAAGTACTTGCCTCACCGACCCAGACGGGAAGGAATATGCTGTGACATCACCACAAACGCTGAAAACTTTTCCACATTTTGTCACGCTACTAGCACGACGTCAAGGTATTTTGTCGGGATTTTACCAGGTGTACCAGCAAAAAGCAGTGCATCGATGTGACATGGGAGAAAAACGATACGTGCGGTACAGATTGCATGCAAATACAGTGAAACTTCAGGTCATAACGTCACAAAATGCGGAAAACTTAAAAGAGTTTGAATATTTTTACCTGTATGTGACACATTGACACATGTGCCCTGAAACTTCTACTGTGGAAGCACTTGTCCTTACAGCGAGGTCATGACCGTGTCATACAACCCACAGAGAAATGGGATCTGGCTGTTTGTGCAGCTCAAAAGGTTGGGGTCGTGGAATCAGATCCGATCAGAGCTAATGGTCATTTTGAGATTTTCCTGGCAAAACAGCGAGGGAGGCTTCTCCATCCTCAAATTGCTTCTGACGCTGGTAGAACGTGCTGCTCAGAACGGAGTACAGTGGTCTCTGGCTGATTTTTTTTAGACAGGCGGCACTCGAGATGTTAGATTTCCAGAAGATCAGCTGTCAGCCCGTGAACAATTAGATACTTTAATGCACTGCCCCTGGAGGCCTGGAGGAGTTGATACGCCCGAAGTAGAGAGTGTTGCCTTACCCGCAGGAGATGTACTCTTGTCATTGTCGTTAATTGCAATTACCGTATTTTCCGGACTATAAGCCGCTACTTTTTTTCCTATGCTTCGAACCATGCGGCTTATAGTCCGGAAAATACGGTACTATCTGCAGGTTTATAGCGATGCTGATTATCACAGAACAATACCAGTGTCATACCTTCATGACAATGTCAAAAAGTAATAAATCACAGCTAAGTCGTTAGAATCAGCCATTTTTAAACCTGTAAAATATGAAGTAACTGTTAAGGTTGAGTAATGCTATCACACGTGGACTTGAATGTAAAAATGTTATCCTTAAATCTGTGTTTTCTCTGTACAAGAATAGTCTTCCCATCTTGTTGGAGTTCCTTTTCTGCCCTGATCGCTGTACTGTAGCGGTGTTTTCCTATAAATAGATTAAGCTCTCTGTAGCTGAGCTACTCCTGTCTGGCTGAAACCAAGCGGCCCTGTTTATTTCCTTTTTGGGAAACCATTTCAGGTGAGGTCAGCGGAGAAGGTGAGCCTTTTCTTTAGAGGTCAAGAAATGAACCCAGAGTACTCGGATGTTAAATCCTTTCAGTCTTGGTCGCATCACAATGGAAGGAAGTGTCAAAAAACGGACCAGTTATCCTAATTTTGGTCTTTTGTACGGCAGAGCACTGAATCCTCTGCAAACAGCAGAATTCCCTTGTTATTCGCCAATCACAGCAGAAAGAAGGAATTCAACCACTGCTGCTTTGTTGAAAGCAGCTGAGCGATTTGCCATCACGCTTTTTCATTCTGCGTTTCAGACGTCAGTGTTTTTATTTCCACAGTAAATGTTGTTGAAAACGGTCTGACACATACCAGTGAGAATGGCCCTGCATAGGCATCTGATTCCCTTTCCAAGAGCTAATGCTATTTTGACTTTATTGGTGTTGATATTTCGCATTTTGCGGCCTGGAGCAGTGACATCAGGCTCAACAATGTCTTGAACTCATAAGTGTCAGACAGTGGTTTGTTCATTAAACGCATTCCCTCTGAAAAAAAAAGCACCGGCAAAAATTAGAAGCCGTCTCATTTGTCTGATTTTAATGGTTCTTTCCTAATTGCATATTTTACTGCTGCAGCAGTGAAACAGGCCAAGTAGCTGAAGGGTGTATTCTCACGCTGCTGTGGTGTGACCATATGTAGTATGTGTAACTTAAAAGCAAACTATATTAGTTCTTGTTTGTATCAATTATTGAAATCACCAACTAAATCAAATAGATAGCCAATCACAGCTCTCTTTGCATAGGAGTCCATAGTGTATGTTTTGTAGTTTATTTTGTTCAGCACCCTGAACTGTTATTTTACTATTTTATGGCAATCTCAATTACTGATTCACAGCCATTCCATAATGAGGGCTGGAAACTCGAGCTCATCCCTGCAGCAACATTTCCTACATTGTGATGTCTGTTAAACCTGCATACAATCTCAATACTTTTAATCTTGTATAGGACCCTCATTACTGATTATTTTTATTTTTTTAAAAAGCAGAAATAAATAGCGAGCGCAAGGCTTACTGCAGTACAGTGACATGGCAATAAGCGCACAGGCATCTGTTTGCTTCTGCTTTTAAAAGCAAATAAACTACATTGATGCTGGGAATAGACACGAAGCCTGCGTGTTTTGAGTTTCTGATTGATGGTTTGCTTCCTTCTGCTCCTAAGTGGAGTTGCTAGGAGTGAGCCATGCTATCCAGACGCCATGGAAATGCAGAATCATGTCATGACAGTCAAAAGGATTTCATCAAGAGAAATGTCAGGCTTGTAATGAGCCGGAGAGGTGAGCTTGATATTTTGTGGCCGCCAGGCTGGATGGATGGAATTTCACAACACATTCTCGGATCCCCCCGCGCCACCAGTGGATGTTTGAAAGGCGTTTTAACTTGTACAGAACATCAGCGTTAAGGGGCATTAAAATCAGCAAACGTGTAATGGGAACATAAATAATAGGCACATAAAAGCCAAGTGGTTTACGGTCAAACATGTGAACCACTCTAACCAGCACACAATTAATCACAAACCCTCGTGGTTGCATTTCTCTGTATATCCACGCATGAATGGGGCCTTTTAAAGCCACTCTGATAAAGCTGTGGATAAGAGCGGGCGAACAATGGCGTGAATGACTGATGGGTCACATCAGCCAGCACCAAGTGACGAGCAATGCAGTTTAGGCACTGTGAAGAAATTAACATTTTGAATAAAGAAAGTTGTCTCGAGGCGTTTCATTTATCAAACCTTCTGTCAGTGAATTCACAACCCTTCTCTTGTTTGTTGGGCAAGGATCGACACTGCAGCTTTCTTATTTAAGCTATTCCAGTTTAGGGGGGTGGTGGGGGGATCCTTAGATAATCCTGATCCTCATCTCTCTCTTCCTAGAAATTCTTTCTTCAAACCTAAAACATTTAATCTGAAAAAGCGCAATACAGAATTTAGAAAAATGAAGGTGGACAGCATGAATGAAAATGCCTCAGTGGCATAAGACTCTGTTTTTTTTTTTTTTTTTTTGTTCTTTTCTCTTTTGATCACATATTTTGATCCACAAGTTACAAGCCTAATATACTGAAGGTAGAAGGTCCAATGAATGAGTTGGGGTGTGGTCAGCCCTGGTCAGTTCATCAACAGACTCTTTTCCACATGTCCACCATGAAGTATGTCATGAGAATGGGTGGGGTTGTTTTTCTTCCACTCCCAAGTACATCCATCCTGCATAAGTTGTTGGCCGAGGCCAGATTTCTCACAAACTATCAATTGTGAAGGAGGGTCTATCCCTCCATTGTCTGAAAGGAAGATTTGACTATTTTTGGAGACAAGGACTTGTTGGCATATGTAGAGTCTTTTCAGAATATTTAACTGTTTTTGAGTAGGATACCCCAACATGAACAGTACAAAGTCCCATTTTTTTTTCTTTTTAAGCATTATGTGGAAATATAGTTTCTTTTAAGTTAATTTCAAGTTCAAGTGGCCTTTATTTGACAGTGGACAGACAGAAAAGCAGGTTGTGAGAGAGGGGGAAGACATCTGTCGCATGTCGAGACTCGAACCTGTGATGGCCGTGTCGAGGACGTTTATGGATCGCACACTTTACTCCTGGGCCATCACCGCCCCCTGAATGCTTGCTTTTAATGTTTTTTCTCAATATGTTAAAAGTTTGGTTCCAAGTATAAGCTTTTCTATGTATATTAAAATTTAAAATGAATTCCAGCTTCAAATAAAGAAGCTGTGATGTTGCTTTAATTTGTTTGTGCAGCAAGAATATCCCACCGATTCTTGCAGGGAGGTTTGCCTACAGTGAGTGGTATGTGTACATTCAACAGTAATATAATGTTTCTGCTCTGCAACCTATCCCTACAGAGCAGGGGTCCCCAAACTACGGCCCGCGGGCCGGATCCGGCCCGCCACGTCATTTGGTCCGGCCCCCTGAACAATGCCGGATCCGGCCCGCCTGCTCATACCAGAGAGCATTCAGTGTTTTTTTTCATATATTGTATTTTCCGGTTTATATGTGGATTTTTCTTCAACCACCAGGGGGCTTTTGAACAATTGTGAAACTTACTTTCCCTCAATGGAATATATACTCGTCAGTCACCGTTTCACTCACGGTTTTTTCCATTTGCATTCTGGGTAAAAATCTATCCAAAAGTGGCGTTGTCCCCCCCCCCCCCCCCCCCCCCCCCCCCCCGTCGACAAGAATTTCTTTGTTTTTTTTTACTGCAAAAACTAAGACCGGCCCCCGACCACAGAAAGGAACAGCTATGTGGCCCTCGCAGGAAAAAGTTTGGGGACCCCTGCTACAGAGCATTTGTGGCTGATTTCTGTAGGGAGAGCACATTAGCCACATGTGTTGGCATTATTGCTGTTTGGGAATCTCTGTAGTTTCGGCTGCCAGCTCTGTTGGCTCAGAGCAAAGGATTCCCTTCCATTTAACGGCACCTATGACTGACTCTGCCATGGTGTGGCAGGTCTTTTCTGGCTAATTCAAGTGACAGCGGGTACAAATCCCCGTCTCTGTTTATTTAATCGCTAACCGCTCTGGTTTGGAAGCCGTCTTGAAAGTGCCGACAAGCAGAGGGCTGATTTGCTTTCTCTTCAGCTTCAGGGAACCTTGGGCCATCCCACATAATGAATGGAAGGACTTACTTTACCAAGTCTGCCACAAGCATGCTAACACGTGGTTTCCATTT